ACAGGGGGGATAGCTTGAGGCTCCGTCTCAAAAAAAAAAAAGCTGGACATTGTGATGAGCGCTTGTAATCTCAGCTACTAGGGAGGCTTCTTGAGCCCAGGAGTTGGAGGTTGCTGTGAGTGTGATGCCATGGCACTCTACACAGGGGGGATAGCTTGAGGCTCCGTCTCAAAAAAAAAAAAGCTGGACATTGTGATGAGCGCTTGTAATCTCAGCTACTTGGGAGGCAAAGGGCAAGAGAATCCCCAAAGGAAGAAAGAAAAAAAAATGTAAAAAAATTTTTTTTTCCTTAATTTCGGTCTTTTTTGATGTCATATTTTAACAGTGGGAATAGCTAATGCATTTTCATCAATTCTAAGGTACTATTGATTATAATATAAGATGCACCATCATTTTATGTATTGCTGAGAAAGAGCCAATTAAACTGATACATTATTGATTGTTAGATGCCTTCAAATTTCAAAGATGTTGAAAATGTGAAATAATGTATATATTAAAATTGATGAAATACTAGATACTAATGATGATAATGAGTCTTTTCCTCAAAAAGAAGTAAGGTAGAAATTTGTCATAGTTTATATTTAAATTCTGGCTAAACCTGGCAGATTGTATACACATTTAAGCTGCTCTTTCCTGAAAGCTCACTAAAATAAAGGTAATGAAAAAAAAATTTTTTTTTTTTGAGACAGTCTCACTATGTCATCCCTCAGTAGAGTGCTGTGGTGTCACAGCTCACAGCAACCTCAAACTCTGGGCTTAAGCGATTCTCTTGCCTCAGCCTCCCAAGTAGCTGGGACCACAGGTGCCTGCCACAACACCCAGCTATTTTTTTAGTTGCAGCCATCATTGTTGTTTTGGTGGGCCCGGGCTGTATTTGAACCCGCCACCTTACGTGTATGTGGTTGGCGCCTTAGTCACTTGAGCCACAGGCACCGAGCCAGTAATGAAGTTTTAAAAGGAAGATTTATCCTATAAGGACAAAGAGAATAGGAGAGGATCCCACAGCAATGGCAATGTCAGCATCTTTAGAAAATGAAATCTTTGGGCTCGGTGCCTGTGGCTCAAGTGGCTAAGGCACCAGCCACATACACCTAAGGTGGCAGGTTTGAATCCAGCCCAGGCCCACCAAACAACAATGATGGCTGCAACCAAAAAATAGCTGGGCATTGTGGTGGGTGCCTGTGGTCCCAGCTACTTGGGAGGCTGAGGCAGGGGACTCACTTGAGCCCAGGAGTGAGGTGGAGGCTCTGAGCTGGAGGTGGCTGTGAGCTATGATGCCACTGCACTCTACCCACTCTACCCAGCTTGAGGCTCTGTCTCAAAAAAAAAAAAAAAATGAATCTTTGAACAAATTGCAAGTTTTGGTGATAGGTATGTAGAAAGTTACAAACAAAAATGAGGTAATTAACCTCAGAGAAAATAAAAATTATACGCTTGCTGCCTGTAGCTCAGCAGCTAGGGCACTAGCCACATACATCGGAGTTGCAGATTCAAATCCAGCCTAGTCCTGCCAAACAACAATGACAACTACAACCAAAAAGTAGCCAGGTGTGGTGGCAGGCGCCTGTAGTCCCAGCTATTTTGGAGGCTGAGGCAAGAGAATCGCTTAAGCCCAAGAGTTTGAGGTTGCTGTGAGCTGTGACACGAGAGCACTCCATTGAGGGTGACATAGTGAAACTCTGTCTCAGAAAAGAAAAGAAAAATTATATACAAGAGAGAAAGTCATAGTACGGTACATGGCCTAGTTGTAAGCAGTATACTTACAGTAATGTTTATATACCTCTAATAATGTAATTACTGAGTATTAATATTTTTTAATGAGTAGGTGGGGGAAGAGGAAGTGGGAGTGTTTGGGTGGTACATGAAAGTTAAAACCAAATATTTTTAACATAGAAAGTCAGCACTGTCTAAACTTGGTAAGTCAGGCCTTCTTAGCATAAGCATGACATTTGTAATTATGGAAGTAATATCCACAGAACTGTTTAAGGTGCTTAAAGGTAATTATCTTTGTGGAATGATGCTCTGGGATCAGGAGGCTGTCATGTTTTATTAGGAACTTTTATTAAAAACTACTTGTTTTTTAAACTATGTACATTTCTTACGCGCGTGTGTGTGTGTGTGAGAGAGAGAGAGAGAGACAGGGACAGGGTCTGACTCTATCACCCTGGCTAGATTGCCATGGCAGTAGCCTCAAACTCCTGAGCTCAAGGGTTCCTCCTGCCTCAGCCTCCCAGAGTGCTAGAATTACTGGAGTGAGTCACTATGCCCGCCTATCTGCTACTTTAATAAAAAATTTTTAGTTAAGGAAAAAAAGGAAACCAAGAGTGGTGATATTTATGTTTTCTACTCAAGGCTAGTCAAGCAATATAATCTTAATAGACATGAAAGAGGAATGAACATTTTTACTGCCTCCCATGAAAAAGAATTCCTTTAGAATTGCTGGAGTGGATAATCAGTGTGACCCACCTCTGTCCTGGAGAAGTGTTCATCAAATAATTGAAGTACTATTATGAGTCAGACACTGTTCTAGGTATTTGGAATAAACACAAAACAGTAAGATTTTTTTTTTTTTTTTTTTTTGAGACAGAATCTTAAGCTGTCCCCCTCATTGAGTGCTGTGGCATCACAGCAACCTCAAACTCTTGGGCCTAAGCGATTCTCTTGCCTCAGCCTCCCGAGTAGCTGGGACCACAGGTGTCTGCCACATCACCTGGCTATTTTTTTTTTCATTGCAGTTGTTGTTTACAGGCCCAGGCTGGGTTCGAACCTTCCAGCCTTGGTGTATGTGGCCAACACCCTACCCACTGAGCTACAGGCGCTGCCTGTAATATGATATTTTTGTTTGGTCATCAGAAAAAAACTGTAAAGCCTTTTCTGTTAGCTTAACTAACTGTCTAAGTTTACGTGGGAAACTGGATAGACTAGTATTTGTTTGTTTCTGTTCTCTACATCTCCCGTCGCTTTTCAATAATGAGTTTAAGTTTGGCTGGGAGCAATACTTTTTTTGGTGATAAATAGTGAAGTGTTCAGGTTCCTCAGGACCTTGACATTGTGTGGTAGTTCTTTTTTTTTTGAGACAGAGCCTCAAGCTGTCCCCCTGGGTAGAGTGCCGTGGCATCACAGCTCACAACAACCTCCAACTCCTGGGCTTAAGC